ACAGACGGGAAGCCCCACCCCAGGGCCCAGGGCGGGGCAGGTGTGGCTGGGCTGCCCGCTCCCTCCCACGCCCACACAGGCCTCGGGCAAGGTGTCTGAGCAGGCTTGGCTCCGTCCCCGCCTTGACACAGCAGCCGTCTCGCCCCGGGCTCGGAGCGCGGGTCCAGGCACCCTCCCCGGCACTGGGGCACCTGCTTCACAGGCAGGGCTGCGGGGCTGGGCTCCCACGACCCCGCCTCTCCTTAGCCCTGGGACCCCAGGCAGCCCACTGCAGCCTGCCTGGGCCTTGGCGTCTGCCTCTGGAAGGATCACCTGCTCCACAAGCACTTACAGGTGACCTCCAGGGCCCCTGAGACCCGGAGGCTGTCCGGGGAGCCCTGCCCACACCTCTCACCTGGAGCAGAGGGGCGGTGTTCCTGGCCCCAGGGGCAGGGGGCAGCAGCCGCCACAGCTCTCCCACATCCTCCCCGGCGGAGGGACCGGGACCACTGGGGAGTGGGGAGGGCTCCTCCCCTCGAGCTTTCCTGTGCGGGCGGCAGTTCCCAGGCAGGCGGCTGCCCGGACTCCTCACTGCCCCCTTTTTCACCCCTTGGTCCCGGGCACCACACTGGGGACACATGAGGAGGGCCGGGCAGGTCCCAGCAGCAGCTGGGGAGGCCCACCCACAGGGCCGAGCGGTGTGGCAGGAGGCGCAGGCAAAGAGCCAAGGCTCCCAGGCAGGGCAGTACAGATGGGGGGCATCACGGGGAAAGGGGTGGGGGGTCGGCCAGCGCCCACAGGTGTCAGGTGTGGATGGGCTGTGTCCAGTCCGGGCCTCCCTGCCCGCCCCTCTCCCAGCTGGCGGCTCCCACTCTTCTGTGGGCGAGGGGCGGTGACACAGGGTTAGGAGTGACAGGGGAAGCATGACCCAGGTGGTGAGGGCCAGCTCGTTGTCCCCCGAAAGCCAGGCTGCGGCTGGAAGCCGTGGCTGAGAGGCTCCAGTCCGCAGGCACCGACAGGACCCTGCTTTGCAGCAACTGTCTGAATTTCAGGCCCACCCACCACGTCCAGAGAAATACGGGTTCTCCTGACCTCGACTAATGGACATGTGGGCACAGGGGGACCTGCTGGCTGGCGAGAACCAAGTGGAGCTGGTGCTGTGGGCGGGGTGTGCCCAGGAGTGGACCTCGGGGAGGAGGAGGAGAAGGGGTCTCCCTGGGAGGGGGGCCTGCCCAGTCAGCCTCGGCCACGTCCTAGGGTGTGCCCGGCGGAACCCGGGCCTGGGCGGCGCCGGCCCGATGACTCTGGTGGTGCTGGGCCCGTACCATCACTTCCTGTCTCACCCCCTGGCCCGGGGGGCACCAGAAAGGCTTTCTGAGCTGTCCCCACCACCCTGCCCGGAGCTCCTGGGCCTCAGGAACAACTGGGGCTGCAGACAGTGCGTGCGCCCGGCCTGGAGGCAGCACCCACTGTCCCGGTGCCCGGACCCCCCCCACTGCCAGGAGGTCCTGGCACCTCATCCACTCGTGAACACAAAAAGCGAATTAGAGGAGAGGACAGGTTGGCCTGCTCTGAGCTGGGGTCCTGACCTCTGTGCAGCCCCCACGGGAGGCTGAAGGGGCTCTATGAGCTAGCTGGGAGCTTGAGGGGCAGACAGAGGTCCCCAGGCCACGGCCCTGTGGTCACACTAGCAAGCAGGGATGGGGACCCTTGTCGTCTGTGGCACCGGTTGCCCAGAAGAGGAGCCCTGGCACATGGGTGTGTGCCGTCCGGGGGACAGTCTACAGAATGCAGAGCCCCCTCGGATTGCTCCCCACCTGAAGAGTCGCTGGGAAACTTAGACAGCAAACAGTGGGCCCCATGGGGCAGAAACCAGGGCCACGAGGCCAGTCCGGGCATCTGAGCTCCAAAGGGGCACATTCCCTCACTCACCTCGGAGAGGACGCCGGCAACCAGTGCGTCCCGCACTGGCCTGGTCAGAGCACTGTGTCAGTGCAAGCGGGAGAGGCCCTCCGGGAGGGGGAGCATCCCATTTCCTGGGGGTGCATCCCATTCCCCCCCCCCCGCCGCCCCTGGCCCACCCTAGGCCCCAGAGCAGTGTGGCGAGGCCTGAGCCCCACCCAGCCAGCCTGGGAAGCAGGGGCAGCTGTCTGGCTCAGGGCACAGGGGAGGGACCCATCCGCTGCCTGCTGGGAGGAAGACTCTAATTAATCTGCAATATGTTGCGCCTTGGACAAAGGCAGGCTTCCCAGTCTGACAGAACCGCTGTGTGGCCTTGGGCGAGTTACTTGATCTCTCTGTGCCTCGGTCTTCACCATGGGAACCCAGAGCGCTACCGCTGTACAGGGACACGGGCCACCAAAGCCAGCACTTTCTCCGCCTCTCCTCCCCTTTCGCCCCCATGTGCCCATGGCCTTGGGACAAAGCATTTGGCAGTCCCTGCTGGGTGCCCAGGTCTGGCCATGTGGGCTAACACAAGCCTGCCAAGCCCCAGGAGGGGTCAGCAGTCTGCTGGGTGGACAGAGGACGCCACGGTACAAGTGGGTAGAAAGGCCGCGTCCGGCGGTGGTGGTCATCCGGGAGCCTGTTTCACCAGGACACTTGGCCTGTCCTCCACGCGTGGGCCCGTCTTCACCCCGCCCCCGAGACCATCTGCGGTCACACTTCACCAGCGTGGAGATGCAGGCATGGGCTGGGCCGGGGAGTGGGCAGCCTGCCGGGCCCCCCTCCCTGGCCCTGCGCTGGTTGAGCGAGGGGTCTTTCTTGTGTCCCTTGTGAGCTTGGTCACCGCAGGGAGTAGGCTGGGAAGCCCTCCCGTCCCTCCCCAGCCCCGGGTTTGGCCCTGGTCTCTGATTCTCCAGAAAGAGCTCTGGGGGCAGCACTCACCTGTCCACCCACCGCTCATTCAGCAAGCACGTCCTGTGTGAAGAGCCCCGGCCCCGCACTCTCTGCCCCCCTGGGCTGACCCTCCAGCCCATCTGGGCCTGCTGGGTGGCCGTTGCACGGCCTGGAGCAGAGCCATCTGGAGAACTTGCTGACCACACACTCACCTTCCAGCCACTCCCCAGGGTTTTCACCGAGGCCCCCCGAGGACCCCGCACGGCGGTGTCGGTCAGAAGCGCCAAGGACCAAGCTGAGGAGCCAGGAGCCTCAGGGTGGCGGGCTGCAGTGGAGACCCGCTGGGGCCCCGTCCCGGGCCATGCAGTCTTGTTCCGGGTGCAGAACCCGGCTTTGCCCGAGCACTGAGTCTCCACCAGCCCAGCAGGACCAGGCCTGGGATGCCACACCCCAAAGTGAGGGGTGGGGCTGTGCCTCTTACAGGACAGGGGTGTCGAGGACAAGGTCCCTGAGTGCAAGGCACCCTCTGTCATTTGTCTCCTAAAAGAGAACCCAAGTGGAGCGGGCTCCCGGGGCGCCCCTGGGTCCCTGCAGCCACCCTCTCCAAGCCTCTCCTCTCCAGCTCCTGAGGCCCCACCCTCACAGCCGGGAGGCCCCGGGCATTCAGCCAGGCCTCCCCTTCTCCTCTCCCTCTCTCCTGAGGGGCTTTCCTGGAGGGAGAGACCCCAGCTGGAAGCACCCCAGGGGACCCCATGGGGTCCAGATCACATGGCAAGGGCCCCAGGGTGGGGGTGCAGGCGCGGCTGGGTCCCCCCTACCAGGGCTGTGGAGGTGCCTGAAAGGCCTTGTTCACGCTGATGGCTTTGCAGGGGTCCCCTGGCCCCCACAGCCCCTCCTCCCAGCTGGCACGATTAGGGACTAGTGCAAGGCAGGGAAAATTATTAATTTCCACCTGTCAAGTCTACTTCCGGGAAAGTTTGCCAATCGCCTCAGCAAGCGGAGCGGCAGGCAGAGGCTGGGACAACTTTTGCTGGGAGGGACAGGCAGGTGGACCCTAGGTTGTTCTGTAACCTGGACAGGGGACAAGGAGGCTGACCCATCCCCTGCCCGCTATGGCGGCCGGCGAGGGGTGGGAGGGGGCAGTGCCGCCTCAACCCTGTCCTCCTGGCCCGAGGTGGCATCTTCTCAAGTGTGGGTGCTGCAGCGGGTGCCAGGCGGGGAGCCCTGGCTGAGCGTCCACACGTGGCCTTCGAGGCTGGCTGTCCAACACAGGTTCCGAATGTCAGCAGCCCATGGCCAAGGACAGGGTGACCACCACAGTGGCATGTGTCAAGTTTTCAGGGGTCCTGACAGTCCCCAGCACTGGTCCTTCACCCACTGTCTTTCCCCCTTTTGTGCAAAGCCAGGACCCTCCCCTTCAAGGCTGGTTCCAGACTGTCCTCGGGCCAGCCGACTGCCCCTGGGTGGGAATGGACCGCCACTGCACTGACCCCCAGGTCAGCTCTGCCTGCTGTCTGGGGCCTCGGGGACAGGGCACAGGCCGTCTGGGCCCTCAGGCCCTGATGCTACTACACACCTTGTCCCGGGAAAGTGCACAGCGTCTGGACAGGGTGACCCTCCCAGGCTGCAGAGGCAGGAATGAGATCCGCACAAGGCCAGGAGGAGCCGGCCGGGCCAAGAAGGCCTCCCCGTGCGCAGTCTCCCAAGGCAGAGGGCGGGCTGCCTCTGGGCCTGGGAACCAGCCCTGCTGCCCTGCCTGGGGTGGGGGGACAGGGGTGGGGGGGCCACTGTGCCCAAGGTCCCAGGGCCCTGGGGGACGGTCCTGCTCAGCAGGCTTCCGGATGGGGAGGGTTCCCCAGGTCTGCTCTGCGGCAGCCAGGAGCAGGCGGGTGGGGCCTGGAATGACTACACCGCTTCTGAAGAGACAGCCGGAATGAATATTCGTCTCCTGCCAGCCCAAGGCCAAGGCCTGCTCCTCCAGTGTCCTCTGCGCTTCCCGCTACCCAGGTCCGATGTCACATCAGCCACTCCCTGTCCTCCAGATGGAGGGGCTGTGGCCCAGCCCCCTCCCACAGTGCCCTAGCTGCCCCCACTGAGCCCCAGAAGTACTTAGAAACGTAAATTAAAATAAATTGCATTTTTAAATCGCAAATAGGGGCCATTTTATCGCTTTTATTGCATAACAACCATTAATGAAGTATAGTCCCAGCCACCTTAATTGCCTGGAGACCAAAGTTCAATTCCCGCCATCCGTGCAGGCCCGGACGCCGGGCGTCACATCCAAGTCACATCTATGTCACATCCGTGCACCTGGCGTAACTTAAGTGTAGATAAATTACGGCAGGACCAGGCGTTTCGGGGAAGGTCCCGAAGGCTGGGTGGTGCAGCCACTGCCTCCTGAGTGAGGGAGGGGTCAGGGTCCTCAGTCCTGCCCCCCCCCCAACCAAGAAGGGCATGGTCGGGAGGCCGAGGCCCAGCCCCGCCCCAGGCTGGCTTCCCCAGCCCCTCCTGGGCACAGCCAGGGCCACTTCCCTGGAATTCTGGAATCACCGGGGGAAGGGCCAGGAGAGCCAGTTGCCTCCTTTGCACAGTGCACACCGGAGTCTGCAAGAAGCCCAGTCACGTTTGCTGTTCTCGACTGGAGCTCCCCAACCTCTTCTCTGTCCCAGGGGCGATCCCACTGTTCAGCCCTGTGGCATAATGGACCCAACAGTGAGCACACACAGGCCAGCAGGGGCCTGGCTGCCTGGCAGGGACCGAGGAGAGCTGACCCCACTCATACGACTCCCCTCCCTGGCGGCTCCTCCCCACTCCCAGGGCCCCAGGTCTCCACCCATTAATCTTTAACTGCCTCTGGGCTAGCGCTGACCCCAAAAGCAAACAGGGATAGAATTCCTAGGGAAGGGACACCATGGTGCCAGGTCACCTGGAGCTGGCTTGGGGGGGTCAGTGTAGGAAGGCCCCGTTGCCCCGGTTCCCTGAGATGCTGGAGCGGCAGGCTGACTTCTCTCCAGGTCAGAAAGCTGCGACCTCCCTGGAGAGTGATGGGGGCAGGACCCCAAGGCGGAGGTAGATTTCTCCGCCCGCAGAGGTCCCCGCTGCAGCCTCAAGGCAGAGGCCCCTGGAGAAGCAAGGGAGGGGGCGCTTCCGCCAGAAATCCGCGATGCTATTGTTACACTTTCCGAGGCCAGGGAATTTTTCCAGGAGATTGTGACAACCAAAAAATAATAATAACTCCCCTCCCCCTCCAGCAGGAATTCTGGAAAAAACAGCTGCTGCCGCTTTTGGCGGAGGAAAAACAAGGTCAGGCGCTGCGAAGATTTAATTTAAGGCGCGCACCCGCAGCCCGCCAGCCACGCACCGGCACGCTTGCTGTCATCCAAGCGCCAGTTCGGGGTGCGCGACAGGCGGGCGCCACGTGGAGCGCCCCGCGGTCTCTCCGGCTCAGGAGGACCCAGGCGCACCCCCCCACCCCCGGCTCCCACAGCGCGGCCCGAGTCCCGGCCAAGGCCCTGCCTGCCGTGGCTCTGGCCAGCAAGTCCAACCCACCGGGAAGAGGTGGACTGCGCTAGGGGGTTGCCTTCTGCCCCACCCCCATCCTTCGGAAGGGGTGGGAGGCTAAATCCCCCTTCAACATACCATCTAATAATTGGGGTGGGGGTTGGGAGGACGGCGCTGCTCTCCGGAGCATGGAGCCCGACCTTAATCAGATGAGACAGTGGAATGGGCCGTGGGCGCTGGTGAGCCGGGCCAGCACTGGGCCACCCAGACCTCCACCCTGACATCTGTTCTCTGCTGGGCCCCCTCGCCTTTCTCCGCCAGGGAGGGTCGGGCTGCGGGGTCTGCTCAGAGGCTGGGGGTTGGGTGGGCCTGGAAGGTTCTGCGTTCACTGACGCCCGCTCCCCAGGGGCTGCGTGTTCTTGGCCCTCCCCGTTGTCCTGGAAGCAGCTCTCACAGCGCTCCGCGTGAGCGCTCAACGCTGGGGCATCGGAGCGCAGTGGCGCAGGCCCTACGGGGCGCGGGGGTTTGGCGAAAAGTGGCGCTGACAAGCCTGCCCAATGCCTGGTGTCCCACTGAGGGCTGCGGCTGGGCCCACGCCGGGCCCTTCCCACGGGGGTCCTTCTCCGGCTGCGCATGCAGCCTGGGACGCCGATCCTGGTGCGGCAGGGCCAGCAGAGGCTTCCCATGGCTGCTTCGAGGACCGGGAGACTGGAGCCTGTGCCTGGAGGAACTCCGACGTCTTGAAGCATCCTGGGGAGCGGGGTCCCCAGCCCTCTTGGGCAAGTGGCGCCGTGTGCTTGGCCTGCATGTGTGGAGAGGGTGGGAGATGGCCCAGCAGGACAGGATTTGGGGGACTCAAGGCCCCGCTGCTCCCAGCACCCAGCCCAGCCTGGAGCAAAGCTCCCCTGACCAGCCCCCTCCCGAGTGTGAGTCCCCATCCCCGAGGCAGACATCAGCGAATACTTCTTGGTATTTTCCAAACTGGGGAACCAGGAGCGAGGAGGAGGGATGGAGAACGGAGGGGACGGGGTTGAACCCGCTGGTTTTTTACTTTAAAAAATTATATATTTTATGTCACAATCGCTTTTCGTTAAGACCACAAACATCCAATTTGGCTTGGCGTAATAAAATCAGCCGGAGCTCCCTTAAACGGAGCCATTCCGGTGAATTAAGTTGTGAAATCTAATCTATTATATCCATAAAGGAGAATGCTTTCATTGTAAATTCAGGTTATAAAGAAACTATACCTGGGCCGCCAGCCTCCCTTTCGGATTCGCTACTTGGAGGGTTATCAAATTACTTCAAAATGTTGGGCTACCTTCCCCATAGCTCATGGCAACAAAAATTAAATGTGGCAACATTTCTTTTACTAGGAGGAGGAGGTCAGAAGCAGCCACCACCACAAGGGGGTATAATTAAACAAGACTCCCCCCACCACTTTGCATTCGAAAGCAGGTTACTATTTTCTCAATTTCAGTTTTTAAAACAACCTAACACGGGCCAGGACCTCTTCCACACTGCCTCCACCCTGCAGGCCTCTGGGTCTCGACACCCGGGTAGGGTGCACGTGGGCCCCTGAGATCTGGGGTGTGCAGACCTCCAGCCCACAGCGCGGGGACCTCGTGGCTCAGTCTGGTCTGCGTCTCAGTTCCCTGCCCGCAGCCCACACACCTGGGCAGAGAAGGGGCCAGGGAAGCCCAGTGGCCCCTCCAGCACCGGGGGGCCCACATGCCTCAGCGGTGGCTGGTCCAGACAAAGAAGTCCCCGAGGAGGGGCTAATCCACCCCCCACCCTTTTGGTGCTCCCCACCACACCCTCCACAGACAACCTGGAGCAGGGGAAATGCGGAGCCCTGATGTTTCCCTAGCAGCGGGGTACGGGTATTTTCTGCCCTTCCTTGGAGGGGTCTGGACCCCTGTCCCAGCTATACCCACTTCTGGAAATTAACTGACTCCAGACTTGGACCCCGGGCATCCTGCCCTGGCCAGATGTGAGGCGGGGAGGGGGGTCCCCAAGGACCATCTGCCCTCGCTCCAAAGAGAGGTGTTGGGGAGACGGCGAGGTCGCCAAGTAGTTCCAAAATTCCCAGGTAACCGGAGGCCGCGGCCTTTGTCAGGCCCTGAAGATTTACGAGGCGCTGCTGGAGTGTCGGCCAGGCCTTGCCTAGTCCGCCAGCGCACCCCGTTTTATCTTTGATTTCCATCTAATTATTTTTTCCTGCCACTTTCAACTCCGTGTCCATAGAGGCGAACAAAGGGAGGAGGGTGGGGGGATGGGGCCACCAGGCAGCATTGAGGGGTTGATAAGAGGTTCCCTGAGTGCAGGGGGGCCCTGCCACACCCGGGCTCGTGCCCATTGCTGGTCCTCCGAGGATGGGGGTGAGGGGTGATTGTACTGGGATCTACTGGGGGGTGGGGGTTCGCTCTCCAGCTCCGCACGGACCGTTGGGCCAGGGTTGGGGCGGCCATCTCTGAGGAAGCCTAGAGCCCTGCATAGTCCACACCGCACCCGGCACGCCACCGGCCGTTAACACCCTTGGGCGGGAGTACAACAAAAAAATACTTCCCTCCAAAGCGCAGCGAAGGGGTCGGAGTGAGGGCCAACATGCCGAAGCGCCCAGCAGAAACAGGCAGAGGGAAGCAGGGTTCGTCTCCTTGCCGCTTGAAAAAGGTCCGCCCAAGCGGGTAAAAACAGAGCAAAGCTCGGTTCCTAGTTTTTTTTTTTTTTTTTTAAATGCCAGAATGGAAAATGATTTTAGTGGTCGCTACCCATAAGTCAACTGAAAACAAGGATGTAATTAGAGTGTGGGGAATTTGGAGGACTGTAAATCTTCGGCGGCTTTTCCACTGGAATCGGGTGCCTTCTGGCTGGAGTTCATTTCGAGAAGTGAGGTCAGGGCCTTTGGTGGATGCGGGTCTGTGCCCCGCCAGGAAGGGTGAGCGGGACACGCGCCCAAGGAGGCCGCATACCTCCTCCAGACTCCGAAGGTGGCAACCGAGACTCCGCGCCTAGCCCCAGGAGGGGCCCTTTTCGCCCTGGGCGCCCCTCTCCCCCAGGCCAGGTAACCAAGACTTTGGACAAGTGGGGGAGGGTTTCGGGGACTGGGCGCTGGGACGGAACCCACCACAGGGTGGGGGTGGGGGGAAGAGTCTCCTGTCCTTTCCAGACCAAACTCAGAATGTTCGGGGTGGCGCAGCAACCGGGAGTGAGGACTTTTCACAGTGTGTTCCACTGGGGCCTCCTCCCCTTTCTGCTCGTTCCGCCTTGGCTCTTTGTTACAGCTTATGGGGGGTGGGGTAGAAAAGGACCCCAAATCATCCCTTCCCTTTAAGCATCAACCCCTTAATTTTCAACCTTCTTCCTAACGTCAAGGAATAAATTCACTCCATGGGGGATTTTTCCCTCCGCCGCGTGGAGGCCAAATCTCCAACTTCTCACGCGATGAGGGTTCTTTTTCTGAAAGTCTCCGAACGCAATTCCCGAATCCAAAGGTCACCTACGGCCCATTAATCAGGAGGGAAAACCAAGGTGCATCGCGCTCTTAAAAGGTCCCAAATAAAAACGCAGCCTTTCCTCCCACTGTCTCCGGCATTTCCCTTTGTTGTCAAGACTCGGTCACGCCCTGAGAAAAGGGGCCGAAGCGCAGGGCGGGGTGGGGGTGGGGGTGGGTGGGACGACTTACAGGTTCACATTCAGATTTTTCCCCAAAATGATTCCCTGTGGACTTCTTTTGTTTGAAGTGGTCATGGGGGAGGGGAAGGAGCCCGCTGCCAGGCCTCCCCCTAACCCCTTTAGAAAACAAAGTCCGTGGGCTTCCCCCAACCCTCAAGTCCCCAGCTCCTGGGACTGGGAGGGGCCTGTACAGGACTCGGGGAGCTGCCAGCCAGCATGGGGTCAAGAGTAGGGCCTCCCCGTTCCCAGCTTCTTCCGACCCCCACGCCCCACACTAAGCGTCCCCGCTGGAAAAAGAATCCGGTTTTCCAGGGGTTAGGGTGGAAGAGACGAAAGGGAGCAAAGGCCCATTGCCGGGCTCAGGAGCCCCGGCCGCCCCGCACGGTCTCTGCGGCGAACGGAACCTGGAGAAAGGGGAGAAGGTTTTTCAAAGGGCACTCCTTCCGATCCCCGAGGCTGCTAGCGCACCATGGGCCGGCGTCTACCCGTTTAAGGGCCCTCCCTGAGCCCCGCAGAAAGACACATTTGCAGAGAAAGGCTCTTTACACAGCAGCCGGGTTTTTATTCGTTCCCTACCAGGAGCGCGCGCTGGGCGCGCAGAAAACAAGGAAAACGCACGTACCTGGCGGTGCTCCGAGGGCGGCCTCGCGGGCCCGCCGCTGGCGAGGGGGACCCCACAAGCCACTCCCCGCCCGGTCGGTCGCCCCACGGTCCGTCCCTCCCTCCCCGACGAAGCACCCCGCAGAGCCAACTCTGTAGGAAACTCGAGAAGCTTTCCGTCCGAGAGCAGCGTCCATCTTCCGGCGCCAAAGCCCTCACCTCCTTTCCGAGCGAGGGAGCGCAGTTGCGTCCCCGCGGCCCGCAGACCTGGAGGGGGGCTCCGACGCAGAGGAGCGGGGCTTCCCGGCGTGGGCCGCGGTATGGCTGCAGGTCCGGGCCCGGGAGGGTCCTTCTCGGCCCGAGCTTCCGCCTTCCTACGTTCTCGCCGAGCGGCGGAGACGGACACAGAGCCCTCGAGGAAGAGGGAGCGGCGGCGGCCGCCTAGGTCCGGGCAGGAGCCCCGGGGCGGGAGGGGACCTGGGCGGAGGGGCCGGCAGGCTCCCCGCGCCCCGAGGCCACCGCCCTCCAGGGGCTCCCGGCCCCGCCCCGGATCCGCCCCTTGCTGGAGTCCCTCCGCTGCACAGTCCGCGCCACCCCCTCCCCGCCTTAAACCTCGTACCTCCTCCCCACACCCCGCGCCCCAAGGTCCCTCCCGGTCCGCGCCACAGCCTGGGGTGCCGCTCTCCCCCTTCCCTGCGCCCTACCCCGCCTTTCCCGCACCTCCCCAGCCGCCCGCGCCCCGCCCAATCGTCGCCTGCCGCCGCCGCTCTCTTTGTCTGGGCCGCCGGCGCCGGCCAATAGAGTTGCGCAGAGACCCGGGCGGGTGCGCGCCTTGACCAATGGACGGGCCAGGCAGGCCGGGCGGGCGGGGAGGGGCGGGGCAGAGCTCGGCGTGTCCTTGATCCCGCCTGGCTTCGGCGCAACCCACAGAGCCGGAGTGTGCGCTTCAGTAATTGTTGTTTTAGCCACGGAACATTGGGGTGTTTGTTATGCAGCATTGCTGGGGCAACGCTGACTAATACGCCCACCCTAACTAATACAAAAACGGGTGCCTAGGGAGCCGGTATGACAAAACCCCAGAATATGTGGCCTTGGCCTAGTGGTTGGCTTGTGGATGGCGGGGAAACGGATGTGGTGAGCTGGAAATAATAACATGCTTCCCTAGTTACGTCGTGGCAAAACATTCGGGGAAACTAGGAGGCGATAGAAAGAGCCAGGATGTGAATGCTTGTGGCGGATCCTCGCTGCTTTCCCATGGCGTTGCTCCGAGGTGAGGGCCGGCCTGCAGTCAGAGAGAGCCCAGAAATTTGGGCTGTCAGGCTGGGAAAGCCTGCACCCCAAACAGTGGGGGGGGGTTGTCTTCCTTGTGATGTTACGTCTGATACAAAAAGAACACGAGTGAAATTTAAAAACTCTCCAGAAAGAACACGAGTGAAATTTAAAAACTCTCCAGAAGTGAACTCGATATCGCGGGACATAACATTGGGACGGTGAAATTAAAAAAAAACAAAAACAAAAAAACAGGTGGGTGGGGAGTCGTCTGGACAGAGCTGAGCCCCCGAGGGAGTGAGCTGGGTGTTCCGGCTGAAGAATCCTCTCCAACACAAAGTAAAGGATTAAAGAGTTATACTTTAGGAAGGAAAAGTGAAGAGGCGTGGAAAACAGGCCCATAGTTTTCTGAATCCAGGTATTTAAAAGGAATTCCAAAGGACAGGGACTGCAAGGCAAAGGCAGCAAGAACACCACTCTGGGCTGACGACTCCCCCGTGACGACATTTAGAACGGAGCATCAGACACAATCCCAGTGGGGAAGCAACAAACAAACCAGGGTATGTCCAAGCAAAGGGGAAGAAAGGGCGTCAGGCCTGGGCGACTGCGGCCCCAGCGGTCCTCCGCCTTCGTGGTTTGCAGGGCAGGCTCGCAGACGCTCATTCAGCTGGGAGGGAAACCAAACCCTTCTTTGGGTCATGCCAAGTGTTGGGAGAGTGTGTTTCCAACAAATATTATCTGAAGTAATGACTAAATTATATACTCTAGCAAAACAAAAAAATGAACCCAAGGGGAGGCCTGGGCTGCAGGAGCTGGGAAACTCTTTTTACCAGGGACACATGCTGGAAAATGCTCTCCCAGCCTGGATGATCTCATCCTTGTGGGGGTGGGCTCGAGGGAAAAATAGAAGGGGGGGCAGACTGGACACTGATTTATACTCAACCCAGGCACAGAAAGGTGAATTCAGATATGAACCTTGAAAGTGTAAAGTAGCCGCTGGCTTATCTCCACTGAAAGATGGTGTAAAACCTCCGGACCATGGGAAGAAAAAGTCCTGTCACAAAAGCAGGAAACGGGGGCGGGCGGGTGACAGGAACAGCGGGACACATGCGACTGAACCAGCAGCTGGAGCAGAGGGAGCAGCGTGAGGACAGAGGTCGTCACGGGAAATGCTAGCCAGCCAGAGCCGCGCACGAACCGACAGGGGCACTTGGGATGGATTAGAATTCAAACTCCATACACTTGTGTCAAGGAGGCTGGCTCCCAGGAGGTGGCTGGTCTGGGCCAGGGTCCCTACCCTGGGTCCAAGGAAGGACCTTGGGAGGGAGGTTCGTGGACTGCCAGGGGGCCCAAGAGCTCAGGCGGGACATTATCCTGCCTTGCTTTTCACGGACTTCCAACTACAGTGAAGCATTTCCTTCGGTGATGAGTCTGTGACTTGGCTGAAGTGACAGCTGTTTTCAAGTCAGGCGACCGTTCTCGCAGATCTGGGAAGACTGTTTCTGGTCACCAGTCCTTTAAATGTTTGGGAGATATTTAATAAAGGAGCACAAATGCTGCAGTTTTCGTGATATGCTTATATATGCGCATGTGCATAAAACCAGTCCTAAATGACTTCGGTGATTGCATTTCAATATAGTTGGTTTCCTTTATATCCCAGGGTGTTTTATGTATTTCGAAACTGGGTTCTGAGAAGGGAATCCACTGATTTCACCAGGTCCCAAGAGGGATCCAAGCCGGTTACTGCAATTCCGCTGCTGAGGCCAGAGCTGGCCAGGGGTCCTGGGCCAGCTCTGCTCCGTGCACAAAAAGAGCCTGGTGCCCCGAGCTCTGGGTCAAGCCCCTGGTTTTGGCCAGAGCTCCAGGACATCCTCTGGTCATTCCCCGGAGTCCTCTGGGTCTGGACAGGAAGCCTGCAACTCCCAGCTCCCTTGCCCAGCTCGAAGGCACAGCCAGCCCCTCCCCACCTCCCTGAGTCGGGGCCAAGGACCCTGCGTCTGGGAAGCACAGTCGGACCTCTGAGTCGCCAGCTCTGGCACTTGCCCACCTCTGTCCCCAACACATTAAACTACATTATTGGTGCCGGTCCGAGGTGGTGTCTCTGCTCCCTGCACACCCATTGCTGCAGCCCAGAAAATGAAGGAAAGGACAGTGACACCAGGCAAGCACCCCGGTTCCTGCCCTGGTGTTGAACACGGGAGTGTTCAGCACGTGAGAATTCTAAGGCGCCGTGTTTGAGAAATGCAGACCAAGAGGAAGGGCTGACATATGTGTATGATTCTTTGTATCAAAGACTTTAAATGCCATGTCAGTGGGGTCGGTTGCACAACATCATGACTGTTCTTAAGGTCACTTAACTGTACACTTAAAAATGGTCAAAATGACCCAGGCTAGTGTGGCTCAGTGGATTGAGCACCAGCCTGGGAACCAAAGGGTTGCTGGTTTGATTCCCAGTCAGGGCACACACGCCTGGGTTGCAGGCCAGGTCCCCAGTAGGGGGCGCATGAGAGGCAACCACCCATCTGTGTTTCCCTCCCTCTCTTTCTCCCTCCCTTCCCCTCGCTCTAAAAATAAATAAATATAATACAAAATGGTCAAAAGGGGCCCTGGCTGGGCGGCTCAGTTGCCAAGGTTGTGGTCAGTTCCCCAGTCGGGGCACCTGCCTGGGTTGTGGGGTTGTGAGTTCGGCCTGGTTGGGGTACGTGTGAGAGGCAACCCATGGATGTTTCTCTCTCTCCCTCCCTCCCCCTGTCACTAAAATCAATAAGCATGTCCTCACAGGAGGGTTAAAAAAAAAGAAGAATCAACCAATGAATGCATTAATAAGTGGAACAACAAATCAATGTTTTCCTCTCTCCATCCCTCTCTCTCTACAATCAATAAATAACGTTTTAAATGGTCAAATGGTCGACTTTGTCATGTACATTTTGCCACAACAAATACAAACCAAACAGACGTCAGAGGATCACAGGAAACGTGCTGTATCAGATAAATGCTAACAACAACAGAAAAGCGTAGATACGGTGATATTAACCGAACACGAAGCAAATCCAAGGCAAAAAGCATTCAAAAGGAGCCCCCACGCCCCAGCGTGGTCCACTCAGACACAGGCCACGTGTCCGTCGCCTCCGCGGCCGCTGGGCAGCAGAGAACAGCAGGCCCGGCGGTCTCGGCCTGAGCGGCAGAGGGCCGCTCCCCTGCAGCAGGAAGGGCGGGCGTTGGAAGGTGAGGCCGCTACCCGAGAAGCTCATCAGAAATGCAGATTCCGTCAGCTGGTGCCACCTGGCTTTTGCCCCCGGGTGGCAAGACGGCTGTTGCACTCCAGCCACATCTTGCTTCCACCAGGGAGGGGGAAAGACCCCAGCGCTAAGCCTCCTCTCCGCCACATCGCCCCTTTCATCGTGGGTTTCCACCCATGTCTCTGTGGGCAGGACAGGGTCACGTGGACACCCCGGTCGTCAAGGGAGAGACCCGGACGCTGGGCACTTTCTTTCCATAGGAGAGTGGGCAGAAGAGAAGGGGATCGAGTAGGTGGCGGACCTCTTTCTGCAGAGCCTGCCGGCCAGCTGTGGGCTGCTGTGCACCAAGCAGCCATCTTCAAAACACAGAGAGCAGGAGTTACAGAATTCCTGTCGTGACAGGCCCATGCGTGTGGTGGAAGATCTCCACACGCCTGCCGCGGACACGGACAGACCAGTGGACAAAAGACAACCCGGGCTAAAGCAGCTTTGAGAAGCACGATGAACACACTCAACCCGACAGCTCTTTTGTCACGGGACAGGGACCAGCGCTCACACGCGTGGACAGCCACTGGAAGAAGCGAGCTGTGTGTCGGGCCACCAAAGAAATCGGACAGAGTCACAGAGCAGAAACCACAAGGTACAGGTCCCTCGACTACAGTGAAATCACTTAGGAGTGAAGAGGAAGCAGGTAATACAAAAATTCATCCCCTGGAGACTTAAGGACAGCCTTCTGCATAACTCTTGGCTCAAGAAGGAAATCTAAACAGAAATCGCAAACTATTTATAAACGAGGAGACAATGGGAGCAGTATGTCTCAGAACCCTGGGGGGTGTCCCACAGGAAAAGCCGAAAACGTATCCCCTTAAGAAAATTTATTGGAAAACGAGAAAGCTTGGAAAGAAGCAAATTGAGGTTTTTAACTGGAGACAGCTAACAAAACAGCAAAGAAGCCCTGACGCTTTGGTTGTGGCTTCTGCGTCCGCATTCACAGAGCGAGCCGAGGCTGCCAGGCCCCCGGCCTCTCCCGCTGGGCCTGTGCGACGGCTGGGAAGGCCCTGCCTTGTCCCGTGCAGCGGTGTGCACGCCTGGTGACCGTCTGCCCCGGGACGTTTGGGCCACACCCGCCCTCAGACGGCCTGGCCCGGTGACAGCTTTATGGTTCCTGGTTCTTCACTACCTTTGCCCCTCCAGTGGTTATTTCTACTTCTTCTTAAGTCAGTTTTAGTTTTTAGTTTTGTTTCTTTTCCCCCAGAATATAACTTGGTCTAGATTTCTTTTCATTTTGTTGGTGCAGAAGTGTAGCTGGCATTCACATGACAAAAACAAACAGGAACCCAAATGCCTCCGCAATGACCGTTTTCACCGTCGGCCCCTTTCCTTGCTCTTCCGCTTCCCCTCCTGTCTCCCCCCCCTTCTCTCTAATCTCCTTCCCGGCCCTTCCCCTGGCCCCCCTTTGCGATGCGATGTCTTGCCCTTCTCTCCTCTTGCTGCAGCTTCCTCTGGGGCACACCATGGCTTGGACTGTCCAGCACGTGCTCAGGGCTTCTGAGTGCGCACTGCGGCCCCAGCCTCTGCTTCCCAGGCGCTGGTCGCCCTTGAGGCTGCCCACGACTCCTGTGGCTGCACTCCTGGAACCCCGAGAACGGGACTCGGGGGAGCTCCTGGGGTCTGGGTGGCGGGAGCCCTGAGCCCTGCTTGGGCGTCACCAGGAGCAGGTGCACCTTCTGCTTCCCAGGGGCTGAAACCCCCATTCCGAGGCGCCCACACATTCTGTGGGTCAGGGGTTTGGACCGGGCACGGAGGACGGGGCTTGTTTTCGCTCCATGGTGTCTGGGACCTGGGTTGGAAAGGGAGCTAGAATCTTCTGGAAGCACCTTCACTGGCCTGTCTGGCTGTGGAGACCTCACACCCACTGCGCGGTGTCTTCCTATGGCCTGGGCATCTTCCCTACGTGGTGGCCTCGGGGTGTCAGGCTTCTCACACCTCAGCTCCGGGTGGGGGGGGGCCCGCTTGTGGGACAAGAGAGCCAGGGAGCACAGACCCACCCTCTCCCTGATGGGCGGGGTCAGAGAGTTTCTGAGCGCGATGTTTTCCTTCGGCCACCACACGAGGGAAGTGTCCACACTGCTGTCACTGGCTCGAGAGCTGGAGCTCCAGGGAGAGATAGTCTCGGTGCTGGGACCCACGTCCACGTGCAGAAGAGCCCCCGGGACGCTGGGCGCAGATCCAGCTTCCGGGCCAGGAAACTGGGTTCCTCAGCTGGGGGTGGGGTCCAGGAATCTCGGGTAAAAGGCCCCTTTAGTAATTCCGTCCTTGCGGGCCCCCGAGGGAGCCTCACTTTGAGAGACATCTCGAGTGTCTTACCGAGGACTTTCTTTGTTAAGTGTTTTGTTTTGAAATAGTTACAGATTCGCACGCAGTTGTCGGGAAAAACCCGGAGAGATCCCGTGTACCCTTTCCCCCGGTCCCTCCCATGGTAACAGTTTACAAAACTGCTCTGCAGTGTCACAACCAGGGTTTGGGTGGCGATACAGTCAAGACGCAGAACATTGCGTCAGCACCAGTATGTCCCCTGTAGCTTTCTTTTCTACGGCCACCCCAACGTCCCGCACCCCCACCTGGGCCCCTGCCACCCCCCTCTCTACTTCAGCCACTTCACCAAATGTTAAAACACAGAGTCACCCTGGGCCATGACATTGGGGACTGGCTTTTCCCCTGAGCATAATCCCCTGGAAGTGCCCCCGCGTGGCTGTGAGGGTCAGCGCCGATCCCATTTCTTGCCGACTGGTGTCCCCGGCACAGTGGGGATAGGCCAGGGTTTGCTCGACCGTTCACCCCGAGGGCCACCAGGGTCGCTTCCCACTTTCGGCCGTGACGCATAAAGCTGCTCCGTGCCCGCGTCCAGGATTCCGTGTGAACTTGCCTTAGAGACTGGGGCGAGCGGCCAGGAAGGCAGTGGCGGATTTGAGGGCGTTGGCCCGCGGGCTCGGTTGTCCGAGAAACTGCCACGCTCTTTCCCAGGGAGGCTGGTCCAGTTTGCATCCCCTCCGGCAATGCCTGAGGGACTGTTTCTCCGCATCCTCAGCAGCATTTGCTTTTGTGACTTTTTTGGGGGCAGGGGGAGGTGGCCTCCTGATAGGTGTGTGTCAGTATCTCACTGGTTTTCATCTGCGTTTGCCTGGCAGGAGCCGTGCGGGCACCTCCCGGGCGCTCACCTGCACAGTTTCTCCCGCGAGGCGCGCCTTCAGGCCTCTCGCCCACTTCCCGATTCAGGTGTTTGCTTTTTGTACAGCGGAGCTTTAAGGCTCCTCACAGCTTTGAGGCTCCAGTTTTTGATCGGATTTGTGGTGTGGAGACGTCTCCTCCCAGTCTGCCACTGTCTTTTCCTGCTTTGAGCAGGGTGGGTTTCTTGTTGTTTTGTGGCTTTTTTCTCTTAATATTTAGCTTTTGAATTATTCCCAATTATAGAAAAGTCATGAGAACAAAGAGTTCCTATATACTGTTCACCCAGATTCCCCATGCATTAACAATTTACAAGTTTTCTTGTTCTGTCTTTGTGGTGGTTGCTTTCCTTTTTAATTTTTTTCGGCCCAGTTGAGAGTAAGGTGCCGACACAGCGCCTGTTTCCTGAACCTGGGGCTGCTCCCCCCTGCCTCGATGAGGTCGGAATGTGGGGTCTCGCCCGGACTGGCTGCCGTTCCCTCCCGCTCCTTCAGCCGGGTCTCAGGTCTCTCTCTGCGGCTTCTGCACTCCTGCGGAGAAAGCCGCGTCCCGCACGCTGGTCCGGCAGTCTGGTCTGCGCCTCCGAATTCAGCACGGGGGCCGGGCAGGCAGGGCTCGTCCCGCAGACCAGACTGGCCCACTGGGGCCCGAGAGTATGGGGCTCGCACCGGACCCACCGAGGGGTTGCCAGCACCCTGAGCTGGGACTCTGGATGTCATTGTCAACTTCTAAGACAACCCGGAAGGTCCGGAAGCAGGAGGGCCACTTCCTAAAAATGTAACTTAAAACGTGATGGATAAACCTGCGTCGTTAGAACAGTGGGCCTTTCTCTGCGCTTTGTGAGCATGGCGTTTCTGACTGGGCTTTGAAACTAACCCTCGGTGTGGGTCTGCGGGGCGTCCCCTCACGATCAGGCTCCGCCTCTGAGTATCGGCAGGAATGTCTCCCGGTGATGTTGCGTCCTTCTCGGTGCCCCCTCTCGGGAGGTACGACTCCTCTGTCCCCATTCTCGGGACGTGGATGGGCTCTGCCTGCGTCAGGTCACATTGGCCAGGCCACTCGCTGTACAGGGAACCACCGAGGGCTTGGAAGTCACTAGTGAGTGAGCAACAATGCGTGACTACTGCAGGGGGAGAGAGGCCGCACCCCCGCAAACACCCCCTTTTCCTCCAGCCTCTCCCACACCCTGGAGCCCTCCTCGTTGCTCTTCCCCGAGTCAATTATTCATGCGCGGCTTGCCAGATGGAAGTCCTCTGACTCCACGGCTCCTTCCACGCTCAGGCGTCGGCTTCCTCTCCCATTTACGTAGTCGCTCTCCTATTTAGATCACAAATTATTTATGTCCTAAGTAAAGATGGCGATCCGCGTCTCTCTGCTGCTTCAGGTTCGGCCAGTGGGAACCCCTGCGAGCTCTTTCTTGCCTTTTGACAGCTTCCTCCATCTTCGAATTTGTCCTTGTTTCTGGCACCACAAGACAGCCCGGCTCACCCGTTGCCCCAGCCCTGGAACCATCCATTTCCCCCAAAGCTCTCGTCCCTTTGAGTGGAGAATGGACTTTAGAAGCCGCGGTCCAGGCACTGAGTGCGCCCTCCTGCTGGGGCCTCGTGGTCTCCAGGCCCGTGCGGTGGACTCAGCTACGAAGCACACCCACTCGCGCATCCACTCGCAAACCCACCCACCCGCATCTATCTCTCTGTGTGAAAAGCGTGCGGTCACGCCAGCACCTCAGGCTCCTTCCAGCCCGCCTCCTGTCCGTTCCAGACTGGAGCCTCTGTTCTCCTTCCGCGTGGAGCCAGCCCCCCAGCCGCAGGGCCCACTCCCACGGCTCTGCTGCCCCGAGTGGTCGGCTCCGAACGGCCGCCTCCCGCGCTGCCTGCATGGCCAGCCCCTCCGCCCACCGAGAAGGAACACAGAGGGGACAGAAGGAAGTAGTAGAACAGCAGTGTGGCCCTCCTCTGTGGCCGCTGTAACAAGTGACCACAAACTGGACGGCTTAGGACGGCGGGAGAGTGTTCTCGTGCGGTCCAGAAGCCAGAGCCCAAGCTGAAGATGTCGGCCCGACTTCCCGCCGAGGCGGAGGCGTGGGTGGACACACCGTGCCTCCTCGCACAACCAAAGGGAGGGCAACGGCAACTTTCAAAACGAAAAACAATCGGAACTGCTAGAATCAAGCAGCATGGAAGTCCCACGACCAAGGAGTTAAAGAAGAAACATTCATCCAGACTGGTGACAGGGGTGGAGATGGGCAGCCGGGCAGAGAGGACCCGAAGCAAGGGGGTGACTGGAGGACCGGGAGGTCCCACATTTGCATGTGGGTAAACGGGAGGAACAGCGGGGGAGCGAGACAGGCCAAGCAACCCAGGGTTCCGGCAGGGAAATAAAGCCTCAAACCTCTGACTTGTTTGAAAACATAATGAAGGAGAACTTCCCTAATTGGGCAAAAGGAAATAAACATGCAAGTCCAGGAAGTTCAGAGAGTCCCAAAGAAGCCGGACCCAAGGAGGAACACACCAAGGCACGTCCTGACTGGATGACTGAAACCACCTGTGGGGGTTGAGGCGGCAGCGGGAGAAACTCCCAGCCTCACAGGAGAGTTCGTTGGAGAGACCCACAGGGTCCTAGAACGTACACAAGTCCACTCACCCGGGAATCGGCACCAGAATTTGCTTGTGGGTAGCGGGGGAAGTGACCGAAAGCCACAGGAGAGCTGAACCAGCTGCACTGTCCCCTCTTGGACCCCTTCCCCACAACGCGGTCACTCCGGTTGCCCTGCCCTGGTGAATACCCAAGGCTCCGCCCCTTACTACATAACAGGCACGCCAAGACAAATAACAGGCCCAAGTGGAAGAACAGATCAAAGCTCCAGAACAAATACAACTAAGCGATGAAGAGTTAGCCAACCGATCAGATGCACAGTTCAAAACACCGGTGATCAGGATGCTCACAGAAATGGTTGAGTGTGGTTGCCAAATAAAGAAAAGAGTGAAGGCTGTGAAAAGTGAAATAAAGGAAAATGTACAGGGAACCAATGGTGATGGGAAGGAAACTGGAACTCAAATCAACGGTGTGGACCAGAAGGAAGAAATAAACATCCAACTAGAACAGAATGAGGAAACAAGAATTCAAAAAAAATGAGGAGAGGCTTAGGAACCTCCCGGACAACTTTAAATGTTCCAACACCCAAATCATAGGGGTGTCAGAAGGGGAAGAGCAAGAGCAAGAAATTGAAAACTTATTTGAAAACATAATGAAGGAGGACTTCCCTAATTTGGCAAAGGAAATAGACATGCAAGTCCAGGAAGTTCGGAGAGTCCCAAAGAACCTGGACCCGAGGAGGAAGACACCAAGGCACATTCTAATTACATTACTCAAGATTAAAGAGAAGGAGAGAATCTTAAAAGCAGCAAGAAAAATGAGAGTTACCTACAAAGGAGTTCCCATCAGACTGTCAGCTGATTCCTCAAAAGAAACCTCACAGGCAAGAAGGGGCTGGGAAGAAGTATTCAAAAGTCATGGAAGGCAAGGACCT